TATTAATTACATTATTTAAGTAATATCAAACTTTTAAATATTTTCAGGAATTCATGATGCTAACTTATGTTAGCAATAAATCAAGTTCCTTTCATAACACAGGTGTACGTTATATCATACAGTTGGCTATGAAAGTATCAAGTATTTGTTGTACGAAGTGTTATACAACATAAATTTAAATTAACCATTTAACAAGTAAGGTATTAAGAATTAATAAGATAAAAATGATAAAACATGTTAATAGCAAGTTGTTTAGGATATAATCATTGAAGTCAATATTAAGTTTATATTATACTTATCCTAACACCATTAGTGAAACTTTTTCACCTAAATATAATAAACTTAGCTAAACATAATGAAGAAGAGAAACATAAATAAACAAGAAGAGAACATGATTATAAAAGTACAGTAAAGGAAATAAAAGGCATAAATAAGATATTAATGAAAGTAAAACTTAAACATTACAAAAATATAAAGAAAGAAAGCAAGAATATGATCTTGATCTGAAAATCAAGATACTTAAACGCATGGCAAATGTCCTTTTTTATAGGCTAAAATTCAGAACTATTGATTTGATGACTGATTGTTACGTGGGTGACCACCTCTTGACTTTATGACAATCCTTATCTTCTTCTCTGAATAAAATAAAGATGCTTAAACGTATGGAAAATGCCTCCTTTTATAAGCCAAAATTCAGAACTATTGATTTGATGACTAATTATTGAGTGAGTGGCCACCTCTTGACTTTATGACAATCTTTATCTTCTTCTTTGAATAAAATATCATTGATAACATTAAAATTTGAACAAATAGTCTTCATGACAGTTTTAGAAATTTGTCTCAATTTTTTAATAAAAAATAATTAGTGCATTTAGACTTCTAGAACTCGAGAAATGGGTATAACACTGAACAATGTATGGGGTGCAGGACAGATTCTAACTTCTTTGTTGTTGCTACAATTTGAACTTGAAAACTGACTTTTTAAATCTTGAACTCTTTATGAAAGTTTTAGGCCTATGTCTTAGCTTTTTATTTATATATACCAGACTTAAATCTAAGTTTTACATCTTCATTTATGATCTAGTAATCAAATGGTGTTCCACTTTGAATTTAACCAGCATCTCTTTCATAAGCTTAGCCCTCTCTTTGTCTTCTCAATTTCAGTAGTTAAACTCATTAATAAATCATTTGATTTATGTGATAGAACTGCATTTAAGATGAACACTTACTATAAATTCAAGGTATTTTATATTATCAGACTTGTTATTATAAAATATATTTTAGTTAAGGAGTTATTGATACTTCAAGTGCAAAATGATGATATAAAATCTTGATAAAAATATACTTTTAAGTACTAATCAGTTATCACCTGGGCTTTAATTCCTTTAAATGAGGATCCAAAAAAATATATTATTCTATTAGTAGCCTTATAAGTCTTTGTGTATTTTTATGCAAAGATTTTTTAATGGTTACTAGTAGAATATAAAAGTTTTTTTACCTTCCTTATAGGATTTGGTTATCCCGCATAGAACTATTGCGATTTTCTTAGCAAGATGGCTTATCTTTATTAAAGGGGTTGGCCCATGGGGAAAAAATGATGACTTGTATTTTGTGCGGTAATTGAGTGAATTATTGAAAACCTAAAATGACATGAAAAGTTATTCATCCAATGATATGGGTAGAAAGATATTTTCTTTATAACCTAGTCATTCTTACCTCTATCTTTTTACTTTCTGTAATTTTTGAAAAGTTATTTTATTTGAAAACCACAAACTTATTTTAGCTCTAATCCAAGTAAACAAACTCATTTCTAGGTATTTTCCACCATTAACTTCTTTATTTTTTCGCCTTATACCAAAATATGGACCCAAAAGAAGTCAAATTTGTCTTTAAAATAAAAGATATAAAGTTCAAGTTCTAAACTAAGACTAGGAGAAGTGGTAGAGGGTAGGAGCTTACCAGATTAGGCCATATAACTAGAGGGAGTAATACTCCAGCATCCACCTCTAGTAATAAATAGAGTAACTCTTCTCATATAGGTCGTTCCCCTGTCATTACTAGGAATTTCTAGAAAAAAATAAAGCTACCCTAAACCCTTAAAGATGATGTTTCAAGCAGTTTAGGTGCAGAGGACATGGAGTTTATTTCTCATCTTTAAACAGGAGACCATACAACTCAAATGCATGACCAAACTAAGTGTACCAGCCGAGAAACTTTTGGCTCTGCCTAGTATTATTTTTAGATTAGACTCTTTTTTACATGTATATGATAAGGTATTCCTTCCTTCTCAAAAGTTTAGTTAAAGAAGAGTTCAAATACTATTAGTTAGTTTCAAGCCAGTTGCATCCAAATAGATGGATCATTTTGTCCACTTTTGATAAGTTTTATAAGCTCATTAGAATCGAGCCTATAGTCAATGTTTTAAGAAGTTGTTACCATCTAGTTACTAACATCGATGGTGGTAATGATATGTATTGGTTTTTTACCTTTACTAATAAACCTATAAGAGTCTTAAAAGAAACTTTATATCGGAAGCCTGCATATGTCAACAAATAAAAGGGGAGATAACTAATTGTAAGGTATAGCAGGCTAGTTAGTCCTAGAGGTGGAATGCAACAAATTTAAGGCTACTTCTATTACTGGAAGGTTCCTCCTCATGATGTAAACAACAAGCTTTATCTGAACTCAGACGAGAAGAAAACACATGTTGCGCTCACCTCAACTTCAACTGAGTATAAAGTCAATATGATAGCCAAAGGATATTATCAAGCTTCTTTGCAAAATATGCAGCTTCATTATTCTTTTGTTATTGGAGATATATACAACCGTATCAGTGAGACTCCAAATTTATCCTTTTCAAGGTAAATTTTATAATCATATTATGAAGAATAAGTTCATCCTATCCTTGAAAGATTAGGAGATTGTTGCCCTGGATATCACCTAGAAAAAGAAGACATCATCATTATGAATAATTTAATTCATATATATATATATAACTTATATTCTTAGTCATTAACCAGGTATAATTTTTTATTGCCCTTTAAAGTGTAATCATCTTGATGATATTTTTGTTGAGATCATGATCTCATTCTAAAGGAGGAAAGAATAGAGTTTCTCTAAAAAATATCTTTTAGGTGGTTAACAACTAAGTTCATAAATTTACCTAAATCAGGCTATGGACCGATAAAATAATTTTGATCTTCAAAACTCATTAAAAATTAAAGGGGCAGTGTACAAGAAATCAAATCATACATTAACGATAAAAGCTTCAAAAGTAATTGAATTTGCACCAATAAAAACCATAAATTTGATACATAATAGAAGCACATTCTAGATCTCTCTCTCTTTTTTTCATTTTAGATAGTGAAGAGGAGTCTTTCATTCTATTCTATTCATCAATATTGATCACAGATAGTGGAAAAATTCTTTTTTTTTGTCCCAACCCACAATCTATTTTTAGTTTTAGTCTATTTTTAGATAATTTTTTGATAATGTTCTTTTAATCTTATAACAAGTCTGTATTTATTATGATTATTAGATCAGATTGCTTAAAATTTTCACTTGTTTTACGGTTTAAACTAACATTCCTCTATCACTTGTTGAAATATTTCTAAAATATTGAGGGTCTAATTATATTCATGAAGTTGGCAAATGTCTAGTCTAAATTTGCTCGTCTCATTAAGCCCACGAGCTGGTAGAAAAACTAATACTTAGGGCGATCAAGTTGTTGTATAGTTTTTCCTACTCATTAAAGAGTTGTTGAAACTCTAATGGAATAGATGTGTCAAGAACTGCAAGAAGGTCCGTCACACATCCCGTTCTAAAAGTGTTTTTTTATCATCTACCTTTAATAGTGATTTGGGATGTTAATAGACCAGTTTTAGAAGAATTATCTATGGATTTTTTATCAAGTTCTCATAGACGATGCCAATGATTATGTTCTAAAAAATTCAAGTAGCTTGAAAGCAAAACTTATATCTTAGATAATCGATAAATCTTTTAGTTCTAGCAATCTCATTTTTCCTGGCCAAGGTCACTGGTGGTTGGTGTCTAATACCTGTTAAAAATTCACTTTAGTGAATTTACGAACTCCATGGTACTTAAATAAGCATATTTTTAAGAGAAGATGATATTTAAGATAAAAACTTTAAAAATAAATATACATTAAAAAATGGAGATTAAAAACCCCTTCTATTGAAGACTTAATAGGTCTTTATAGTGTATTTTTCTTACCCATGGAGATGACTCGAAGATCTTTTTTATCTAATAGCATTTAACTCTTCTTTTTAAAGAGAAAAATATTTATGATTTTATTAAAGAAAAATATCCCTAATTCTATTAGAGAAAAAAAATATCTGATTTTGTTAAAGAAAAACTATCTCCAACTCTATTACAGAAAATATCTTTGTACAGGTGTGAACTAAGTGCTTAATTAAACTAATGATACTAGATTAGTGCTTAATTAAACTCAATGATACTAGATCATAACCTGACCTTCTGCTTCTACACATGAGGATCCCTTCTACACATGAGTATCCGAAGAAAATAAAAATAAAACACGTTGTTACATCACAAAGCTGCTTGTTTGCCCTTTATTCGTTCATGCAAGTAGAGCACTTTGCTGATGATCAAATTTAAATTCAATCTTGCCGAGAATGTATGGACTCGTGGCGTATATACATGCCTGTCGGTGCCTGGATGCACTTATTGCGCCATTAAATGCATTGCAAAAATAAATAAATAAAAAATTCGAAGATATTAAGAGTATATAATATAATGTATACCATCGAAAAACATCCTATCCTTCGTATAATTACTAACGGGACTCTCATTTCTTAGCACTGTTCGTCAAAAGCAGAAGGAATAAAACCTTGGGACAACAGCATCTATCACTTAGACAAAGCGAGACGAACCTCTCAAGTTCCGATAAAAAGTACTTCAGCAACAAAGAACACGGCCATGGGCCATGATTCACACGTGTTCTCGAAAACAATAATGAAGCGAGTCAAATGTCATGAGTAGACAAGAATCTTGAGATTAATCAATTTTTTTAGAATGCCACTGTTTAAGTTACATCAATTCTTCGTAGCACAAACTTTTGGTATTGTTAGAAGCCACATCTAACAAGAAGTAACCTAGCATGGTACTTGGTATTGTTAGAAGCCACATCTAACAAGTAACCTAGCATGGTATACATCAACATCTTTATTAAAGAGATAATATACATGAAGCATTCTCTCCTTCGTTGCCAAGAAGCTATCTTTCCTTCCAGCAGAATCTTGTATCCATGCCACAATCGGTGGCCCACGAAAGAAAGAGAGACCTCTTCGGCTTGTCAGCAATTTCTTACTTCATAGGGAGGAGAAATGCAATTCCGTGTTTTCTATGATACACTCGGGTAAGTTGATTTCTTCATCCAATGGAAAGTGGTATTGAATTCGAAGTCCTATTCTAAGAGTTCTAATGATAACTGACAACTAGGAGATGAGGTCTACAAGGAAAAGGGAACCAGGTTCACTGTGCAGCTCGTAAACCAATCAATGAAAACTAGAGCCCAACCAGTCAATCATGGCTTGTATTTACACTCCGCAACAAAACAAATATTTTCCTGGAGAAAGATCATGCAGATCAGGAAGTTAACAAGCTTGTAAAGTAGCCAATGTAACTTGAGGTTTATAATGAAGCACTCGAGGAACAATTGTGAAAGGCGTGCTTCAGGTTTTGAAAATGAAAAAAAAAATGTGTTTCCAGTAATATTATAAGAAAAATCTTTCAATGCAAGACTACGAAAATCAAGAATCAACTTTGGGAAATGGAACACTCACTGTTCAGGAGAACTCCCAGCCCATTCAAGCCCTTGAGAAGAGGTGCTTGAGCTCCTGTCATGGGTAGCCTTCAATAGTAGCTCTCTCTATAAATTCACGTTGGGCGTTGGCTGTAAAAAACGTGAAACTTCCTGATAAAGCTGTTCAGCTTCAAATGGCTTGGAAACATACCCATCCATTCCACATCTTTGGCATTCCTCATATGTAGCCTGGATCACGTCCGCAGTCATTGCCAGTATTGGTATATGCCCATTTGACTCCATATCCCGAATTCTCCTTGTAGCTTCAAACCTAAGGGAGAGGGCATTGATTTTAGAATTAGCACCAAATATATCCAAGGATATATAAATACAGATAAAATATCGCGTACAAATAAAATAAGCATGAACAGGAAGAAAACTGACATTAAAATCTTAAAGGCATGAACTATCACATACCCATCCATTTCTGGCATTTGGATATCCATGAAGCACGCATCAAATTGGTGAGGTGGCTTGAGCAATTTGATCGCCTTCTTGCCACTATCTGCAAGGATAACTTCAGCTCCATACTTCTTCAAAGCAGCAGCAGCTACTATGAGATTCACTTTATTATCATCTACAATAAGAATTTTTCTTCCAACAAGATGGTTGCAAAGAGACAAACTGGGGTGTTCTCCATTGCGGGGATTCCCCTTATTCCCGCCCATTGCTCGTTGTAAAGATGCGGCCAGCATACTCGCCTTGAGGGGCTTGGTTATGACTCTTAGAGTATAAGCACCAGAAGTTGCTGTGTTTGTTCTGGAAGAACTGAGAGAATTTCCCAAAAGGAACAGTTTTGGAGAAACCCCACTCTCAATTTTTTGTAAGTTACTGACAAAGTGAGCTGAAATGCTTGAGTCCTTATCCCAAACTTCCTGTTCAACAAAGATCATTTTGAAGACTCTATTTTCATTGCTTATGATAGATAAACCTTGATTTAAATCAGAAACCAATTCAACATGTATTCCTAGCCGCTGGATCTGATATCTTGAAACATTGGCCCTAACAGGCTTGGGGTCAACAACCAATGCAGTCATGTCTTGAAATTCTGAAGGCGTTGTGTTACATTGGTTTTTTATTCTCTGCTTCTGCTGCTTGGTGTCATTTGAATTGGAGCAGCCGTTTCTGAATACAGCAGTGAAAGTGAAGGTGGACCCAATATCTGGTATGCTAGCGAAGCCAATTTCCCCATTCATAAGGCCAACCAAACACTTGCTTATGCTCAGGCCAATGCCTGTGCCTCCATATTTTCTGGAAATGGATGGATCAACCTGCATAAAAGGAGTAAAAACACGAGGTTGGGCTTCTAGAGGGATCCCTTCCCCTGTATCCTCAACCGACACTATTAGATTGACAAGGTCAGAAGAGGATGGTGAGAGAGTATGACTTGAGCCCTCACGACTGAAAATCTTAAATCCTGCACAACTCCTGCGTCTATCTGCAACAGGCAGACCACTCAAGGTGTTTAGTGATGATGATTCTGTCTCGACATCTATCGAGTCCATCACCTCCTCAACAGGATGAACAGTGAGAAAGATGTGCCCTTTCTTTGTAAACTGGAAGGAGAGATACAAAAAACATCAATCAGCATATCTTTTCTTTTCTTTGATAGGGGAAAAATCCAAAGGAGAGCCTAAAGACAAGGCACAATATTCATTATTCCACTGTTCCTGAGAAAGGTTATTTTTTTTATTTTTTTTGTCACAAAGGGGGCTGATTCCCACCTAACATAGCAAGCACAAAGAGAGATCCCTTCAAGATCACTGGGCAAGAAATTATTAGCTAATCCAGCTGCCTGAACTAGAAAAAAGTGAAGACCAAAGTCTACGCCTTACCATCAAGAGTTTTAATGAAAAAGAGGCACAATATCAAATCTCAAAATAAATTTGCTTTGCATGGCAATACACCGTGGCAGGTTGTGTTTTCTCCTGTACCACTGTTTGTTTTCTCAAATTTTCAGTTAAATGAGTTTTACCACAACTGCATATCAATTTACAGAATTAAATTTATTCGTTACCAAAGAAAATTAAAGACATGGCTGGGTACTTACTTTAATTGAATTCCCCATGAGATTGGTAATAATTTGCCGAAACCTCCCTGGATCACCGATTAGCATTTCAGGAACACCATCAGACACGTAAACTGCCAACTGTTCTCCCACCAGTTTGTATAATGAAAATTTAAAATTTAGTTAGCAGACAATGAAAAAGAACCAAAGAAGGATCACAGATGAGGAAGTATGGCCCAAAGGAAACCAAGTAACACATTTCGAGAAACATATATTACCTCAATCCCTTTCTCATGAGCCTTGCCAGAAAAGAGTGCCAATACATCATCCATTATTGCCCTCAAATCGAACTGCATTTCCTCAAGCTCAATCTTACCAGATTCAATCTTTGCTTGATCCAAAACCTCATTTATAAGCGAGACTAGAGCTTTTCCACTGTCTTGTGCGGTTCTAACATAATCTTGCTGATTCGCATCTAGATCTGTGTCCATAAGCATATGCAGCATTCCTGAAATATGAGAAGAGGTACTATCATGAGTGCATGAACTTTGTGTTGTTCCCTATACTGGACAAATGATGGATAACTTCAAAACTCACCTAGAACACCATTCATTGGGGTTCTGATCTCATGGGAAACCGTAGCAAGAAACTACAGAAAGTTGGAAAGTTACTGAGGACTGCATGCCATAATGCATAAAACCTAAGAAAATGAGCAGAATAGAAATGCCAAATACCTGAGATTTTGCAACATCAGCTGCCTCGGCTTGTTTTGTAAGCTCCATCATCTTGTGGCAATCATCTTCAACTTTAGCAATCCGATTCATAGTCGCATGGAATATGTACCCAATAAGCAATGCAATCACAAGGATGCCAATTGATGTTGTTATTGCTAACCATGGCCATGGTGGTTTTTGTTTGAATCTGCATTGAGAGACAACTCGTTTACGCAACTGTTTCAACATATATATAGTCAAACACATTACAATATCGATTTAGCTCCTCCCAGATGGAAGGTTCTCTGTATCTATTAAATAATAATGACATAAGCACATCATTACATAAAAATTTGGACATACCATTTCACCATATCAATATACTACAAGGCTATCTTTCTTATTGAATTAAAGAACTTTTTGTGGTATCTTGTGGTAAGGTAGTGCATAGTAAATCAAATAGAGAGGCCTATTTCAGACACAAGTTGAACCTCATGCCATTCAACAAAAGAGAGATTTTATTGATTACCTGCAGCGCATCTCATGCTTTCTGAAAGGATCTTCCAAATTAAGGGAGCTGACATGTTCCAGCCCATCATCTGATACATTTGAACCATACATGCTGATAGGGTGAGACTGATTAGTAGTGTCATACACATTCACTAGGATAGTCTGCTTGCTTGCAAGCTGTTGAAGCAGCTTCTCAACGAGTGACTCGATGTCAAAGATTCCTCCAAGGTACCTGATTGGAGAAGGGAACATCAGAAAAGCTGCTTATTAATTATATTTGTCATCACAGTGACAACTCTATATTTTCAAGCCTATTACTAGAGCATAACTTCGAGGAAATCCTTACAACATAAAATTTGCAAACATTAATTTTTCTTTCCATACAAATGACTCAAAGTAGGAAAACAGTTCAATATTTTCTAGCATCACCCTCGCTTCTGGATTTAAATCAGTTTTAGGATCAATTCCCACATTAATTCTGAACTCTTTATTTGATCAAGCATCATGAGAGGGAAAATATATGAATTAAGTAATAAATTTTCTAGTCAAATTTACAGTTGACTAAAATCATACCCATCAGTTGCTTGAATCCTCTCATTTGGAGTTGCATTAGATGGGAGGTCTGTCTTGTACACAGCAAACGTCAAAATAACCCCAAGACGGTTAGTTTTGAGTAATCTGAAAGGAGCAGTTAGAACCCCCTTTCCAGATGCTCTAGCACGCAACACATTTTCACGATCTTCCTGTCAAGGATGTAAGCAAGAAGTCATAGATAAGTTCATTTAAATCAGCAGTGCAGCTCTCAAGGAATTGAAAGCATAGCTTAACAAAAATTATGAGGCCACGGGAAAAACAATAATGTGAAGTTATCACCAGGTTTTTTATTTCTTGGTATTTCACCGTGTCCCATTAGCGAACATTAGAATAATTTTAGTCAAATAGGTGATTAGCCAAGGAACTGAACCACAAGAAACATTTAAGAAATTGTGAATGAATAAAAAGGCTTACAGTTCCTGAAAGCATATCAAGGGAAACCACATGTGCAACAGTATCCTGAGCAAAGATGACAGGAGCATATTCTTCCTGAATTGGGGATGGCTCCAATGCTTTAGGGGCATTGTCATCCTTACGGACTGGGTTTTGTTCAAAGGAATCCATCCTCTTAATAGTCCAGCCTTGTTGCTTCTCAAATTGTTCCCTTTCAGAATGGAGCACCCTTACAGCATAGGCCACACCACTTGTGAGGGGCCTCTCAAAAGCGGTTCTTTCTGTATACCTCGCAAAAGTCCTCTGCAATTTAGAAGTCAGTTTATATTTTGACTAGATAATACCAATGATAGACAAGAAGAACCCAGATCTAGTTCTAAGCTAAACCATTGACAGTATGAAATAGAGACCTCAAATAAATTCACCAAATTAACACCATGGACTGATCTCCAATCACAGGAAAAGCTTAGAATAACAAAACTACGCACCAAAATTATAAAATATACTAAAGGCAGCTGCGTGATTAAGAGCCTAGATTGATCAAATTGAGCAAGTAAATGGATCAACGCTAGTTTTTAAACAATTTTACTTTCTCGAATAAACCAAGTAAGCCAGTTAAGCACTTCTAGAAGAATTATCAATCTCAAACAGATTTAGTATTCAAAATTTGAAGGAGATCTAGTTAACCTGATCAATCGCAGAAGGGTTTTTGCCATGGTGAAAAGTTGAGATCAAAATGGACATGGCCTGCACATGGTTCATGCTCACATTAAACTGATCCTGTAGCATTCTAGCCCTCTCATCACACATACTTGCAAGTGTCTCTTTCCTCTTCTCAAAAGCTTGTGAGCTCATGTACCAGAAGATCCAAACAGAGACAATGATCCAGCCAACTATCCACGCGACCAAAAGCTTTCGCCACCATGTTTTTCTAATTCTCTTGGAACCAATATACTGGTAGTAGAGATGATGGATCTTGCAACTATTCCCTGAAACTTTCTCCAAGCATTTGAGCCACATCTTGCCACCATCACCAAGCAAACCGGCCTTGGTCTCCAAAATTCCACCATTAATGAACCAGTTCATGGAAATTACTGATACAATCCAGCAACATAGCATCCAAAGTAGATGCCGCACCTTTAAACCAAACCCATATACATGAAGTAAACTCATCCAAAACAGTAACGAACACGAGATATCTAGAAACAGTACCAGAGGTTTAAGGGGGTCTTACTGACTACCTCATCCTAGTGTAGAAAAAAAAAATAAAGAGAAAGAAAAGGAGCCACTATCAAATCTACAGAGACTGTCTAGTAGAACCCAGCATCAAGAGAAATCCTTACTTCAGAGAACAAGAAGAGGCACAGTTAAATGAAGAATAGCTAGCAAACTTCACCTGACTCGAAATCCAAATACAAACTAGTGGAATTCGAAAAGGAGATATGTTGTTTCAGGAAAAGATGCTATCTTATCCACCAAAACAGCTGCAAATTTCAGATTTTGAATGCTAGAAGAGGACCCAATATTGAACAAGATAAGAAATTCACATATACACCCACAAGAAAAAAGAATCAAAGAATCCTCAAGATTCTTGGGTTTCTAATCCAAAAACAGAACTTAGATGGTTTTTTTCCTGTTAATTACCAACCCAAAAAAAAACCAGAACAAGGAAAGGACCAGGCCAAACAAAGACTCGAAATTCAGCTTCTATTAAATCACAATCTCCAACACCCAACAAAGATTCTAGCAAGAAAATCAAGTTTGACAAGAGGGTCCTTACAAATTACTCAACTCAAAACAATAAGGAGAAGAAGATCAAGAACCACTGTTTAAGGTTTGACTCTCAGCTCTCCAGCGTTATCACCAAGTTCATATGCACACAAGTGATTACACGAAGCAGCAAGGACAACAAAAGTACAACAAGTCTTGGTTCTAGTAGTGCTAGTAGAAAAGGAAGGTAACAAGCGAGTTATTCATGGACACACTTACAAAGGGAGAATCTATGAAATAAAGATGAGGAGAGAAAGGTTATAGAAAATGTCTGCTACCATGCCCCCATTATCTCTAGTAGTGCTAGTAGAAAAGGAAGGTAACAAGCGAGTTATTCATGGACACACTTACAAAGGGAGAATCTATGAAATAAAGATGAGGAGAGAAAGGTTATAGAAAATGCCTGCTACCAGGCCCCCATTATCTCTATCCATACCATAAAAATAATTTCATAAAAATAATTTTTAAAAAAAATGACAAGGTATTCATTTTCATTTAATGACTTGCAATATTTTATTATATTTATGCTATACAAAGATGCATATAAAACAAATTAAGGGCATGAAAGGTATAGTCCCCCTCAAGCAGAAATAACTGTTTTTTTTATTATTATTATTATTTTTTTTGGTTGCAGAAATCACTGCTTTTTCACTGCCTTTCTTTCCCTTTGAGTTTCACATCCCTATCCATTCATAAGGACATGAGATCGTCCCCTTGAGTGGACAACTTCAGCACGCTAACTTGTTGTTTTTTGAGCTAACTTGTTAGCTCTTGGTGTTTATGATTGAATGGCTTGTACTTAATTTATGTTGACTAAAATGTCCCTGCATGAAACCAGAATCGTTGAAAGCTCAAAACAATAAAACATCAATCTTTTGTTCGAAATTATCATTAGATGCGCTGTTGCTTCTTTAATATTGGCATGGTGGAGTCAAAAGAAAAACAGTAGGTAATGAAAGATAAAAGAGGACCCATCATGATAGGAACCTCTCAAGGTGTTATTATGTCTATTCTAGTGATATATTATGTTCTGGAATCTGATAGCCAGTATTTGGTTAGAGACTTTACTTGTAGACGTAGAATTCCTTTGTACCGAAACCACATTTTGCTTTCAAAACACATATAGCATCCCATTACACGACAAAAACATAATCGTCGCTAGTTTGCTCACGCTTTTTTTATTTATTTGTAGAACAAGTAGTTCTCTATCGTTTTGGGATGATAGTAACGAGAGATGAGATTTCAATTCTTGGGAACTATGTGTTGTCTTATTGATCTCATTTGCTTGTGAAGTTTACAGCTTGTTTGAGTATCTCATTGGCTGAATAGTTAATGCTAATGGTAGCAATATGAGTTTGAAAACTTGCGCGTATAACCTCTATTTTTAGGGTTCGATCACTAACTAATTCACATAACATGCATGTTTATTAGGATGTTGGTTCATTTGTATATATACTTGAATTTCCACCTTGATATTTGATTTGCATTAAGATTTTTATTGCCAAGCCAGCTAAGTTTAATCTAATTTTGTTATTTTTATCGTCTAGTCATATTAATTCTATTGGTACACGATGAATCAGTGTGTGTTTATGTTTGTTTTATATATATTATTCTCGAGTTTGATTAAATATTAAGCTTAAATATATACAGGTCTAGCAATATACTATACTCAACACCTTTAAATTCAGTTATATATTGAATTCAAATATCTATGGGTATAAAGATATGTTGGACACAATATTTATAAGTTCAGCTATGTACTAAGTCCAAGTACATGCGAGTTTAGCACGAGGTTAAAGTCATACATCAACTTTAGTTAGCTATGCTTTAAGCTCAAATACATGTGATTCTAGTAAAATACTAGACTCACTACCCTTGGATTCAGCCACGTAATGAGCTCAAATATATATAGGTTTGGCGAAACGGTTTTAACTACACACTCAGCTTAAATACATATGGATCTAAAGACATATAAGACCTGGTATTCCCAAGTTCAGTTGTGCGCTAAACATAAGTACATATAGGTCTAGATACATATAAGGTTGATAAATTTTTTGGATTACAAGAATATATTTATTTATTTATATGTCTTTTAACATAAAATATTAAAAGTTAAGAATGATTTTCTCCCTATAAAAGTCTTATTAAAACATACTATATTTCTATCAACATTAATATTGTATAAGAAATATCTATCCCCTTTTGATATGGTGTAAAAGATATTTATTATTTATTAAAACTTTTATAATGAGATGACATTTTAACCCCTCTATTCAAGCAACATGATAAATCTTATAGGCTATATATACCCTTTAAATATTTATATTTTTTTCAAAACATTTGTCATACATAAATAAGAACAACACTCTTGGACACATTTTCTTATTTATTATAATTTTTTATTAAAAATCATTGATTTTATTATTAAAGAATATCTAAATATCACAAAAAAATTATCTTTCATGTATTAAATCATCTATCACCTATTATTAATTTCATAAATTTTTTTAAAAAATATATAAACAAGAAATAGTGATTACTTTCTATCTAAACATTAAAAAAAAAAACCTTTATTCCTCCGCCTGTTAAATTTTGGAACACCATTAAAAAAAGAAAAAGATGATATAGAGGAAGTACACCATCAGAAAAAACAAAAATGATATAAATAAAGTGTTTCAATTGCCCTTTAAATAATAAAGAAAGAGTAATGCTGCTCTTTCCTTGAACGAAGGACACCTAATAGTCTGCATAAGTTAAAACTTACAAAACACCATCAAAAAGAGAGTACGCAAGCGTGTGGGTGTAACCAACACCTCTAACGCCTAATATAGGTAATTGGGTAAGCATCTTATTTTAGCTTTTGTAATTTGTTTATGCATATAGGAAGCAACAACAAAAGAGGCAATCTACTGCTGTGAACACGACATTGATTTCTTCTGACTTCGAAGAACTCCACTCTTTCCTGCAAGTAGAACTTCGGTCTTAATTACTGCATGAGCAATAAAAATTAAAAAAAAAAAAAACAGTGGCAGAAAACTGTAATTTAAAAGATAAAGTGGTGGCAAGTGTATAAAGGGCACTTTAACCAAGGCTTCGTCACTCACCCAGGGGGTGATTAAGCCATCACTACGTGGGGCCATGTTTTAGCTCTTAAAGACAGCGACGTCCCCCCGTCAGCAGCACCTGTTCTTTCTGTCGACAGCCAATCAGCTTGCCCAACGTGTAATGCCCATAATTCCTTTTCCTTGCTACGTGTCGCCATTGGGGAGGGGATAAAATTAGAGCATCTCTTTGACACGTGTGCTCATAGGGGCTCTCTCTCTGCGCTCCTCACAGCTTGTGAGTTGTCTGTCGTTGTCTCATTGGAATTACCTAAAAGTTAATTTATAGCTCATATTTTTCATTCCTAGCACAAAGCGACCACAGGGCTAAAAGGGAGAATTTCATTTAATTTCAGGGCTGTCAATTTGCATATTCCTTTAACAAATAAGTTATCTTTCATTTATATTCGCCCGTTGAAGGGGTTTGAAAAACAGCTTATAAATTATTATATTTTTTTCATTTTTGCTTGTAAAATATAGTTATTGGTGGGAATGCTTTAGGGATATATTCTGCGCCGCAATAAAAATGTTATATATGCAATAATAGCAAAACGAATGTAGAAATGTGATATCTCCATGCGTCATGCTGACTGGGATTTTCTTTTCCATGTCAAATATAATATATATTTATTTATTTATTTTTGCTATTAAATGAAGGGACATTTACAGTGATATTAATATAATTAATTAATGACTATGATATTAAATAATTTCAGGCACTGTCAATACCTATCACAACTATTACTAGTTTATCATTTATTCCCTCCCTGTACAAGTATAAATATTCTTGATCAGTTGACATGGAAAGAGAAATAAAATAATAATATTTTCTCTTTAAAAAATATTGTTAATTTGTTTTTAAAAGTTTTCAAACACGATTTTATCGTGGTGATATTATATAGTTTTAATTACTCTCTATATTTATTACAACCTGTTATAAGGCCACTATTAGTTGAGTTTATTAAAAAAAAAAAATTGCAGTTTGCTATTATTAACTCTCTCACCGTATAAGCATAAACATTATTAAGTATTGGTATGAAAAGAAAAATAACATAAAAGTAAATTACTCTGAAAATCCTGGTTGAGTTTATTAAAAAATCATATAGTTTGGTTATTTTTTTACTTTACAATTAAATTCTAAAATATTACACTCTATAATCTGAAATTTAAATGCGTGTAACACTTTATATTCTTAGAAGTAGACATAATAAATAAATAAATAATATATATTTATTTAAAAGATTGTGATTATATTTAGAAAAAATAACTAAAAAACCTCTTTTGCTCAAAACTTGGTCTTGTATGAATAAATAAATAATATAACAAACAAAAAGAAAAAAAATCAGAAAACCTAATCGGTTTTATTTTCAATTTTCTTCTTCTCTCTCTTACACAGCCTTTTTTATGTCGATAATGCCCTCGTCTTTCTTTGTCAATCGACAACCAACAAGTGTTAACTAATTAAGACCTGCATCATCATCTCCCTTGCCAGCCAAACAAAACCAAAGCCACCATTGTTGATCTAGACTTTTCAATCCTAACTCAGCTCTCATCGTCTACATCTAACAATCACAACTCCTTCCTCTCACACAATGCTATAAATAAATAGTAGTCGCGGGATCCTAGCCAAATTAACCCTTAAAAAACAGAGCTAAATCCTCCCTAATTAATACATTTTGTTGTATTAGTTGCACATATTAGGGGGGAAAAAGATTACTTTCAGCAATCTTAGTTGGAATACAAAAAACCAAAGAGATTTTAAAAGATGATTTAATATTCCTCGTATCATTGATATTTTTTCCATTGTAGTCTCAATTCTCTCTGCACTTTATCTATAAGGAGTGCTCCAATAATGGAATATTGTGTTCGTAGTTATCCAACTTACAAGGAATGATATAAATACATAAATAATAATGAAAAGATGCTTTTTAAGGTCATATTTTACTCATCATTTACATTCATTGAAGCTGAGTGTATTCATCCTAATTATACATGGATCAAACAATAGGTCCATATAACTAGCTAGGCCGCAAGACGCAAGAGAAAAGGTAAAGACAACAATTGTTACTTGTAGTGGTGGCTCATGCCTAGTTTCAATGATGTTATATAACATATTGTTATCACACTTGAAATCTATCTATGGCTATAGAGGTTTGAAAGTCTTGATAGGTAACCATTGTGTTTTGTTTGTTGTTATGTGAGAGGATAATTATTGTACTAAGTTGTGGTTTTGGAGAAGACGAGGATGGTTAATTGTGAGCATAAAATCAATTTTTTTAGGAAAAAATGCTGTGATTTATTATAGAGAGACGTGAGAGAGGAAAAAAGGTTAGTGTGAATAGAGAGAGAAT